AACAGTATGTAACATCTCTTTAAGATAAAAGACAATGACTTTAATAATAGTGGGCATTGTTACTATTAGTGCTGTTTCATTTTATCTCTGTTACTGTTTTAAAATTTAGGAACCCTTTCTTTTAAAAATGTTAAAATATGCATAACATAATCTTTAGGAAGCCTATTTTTAAATCCTCTTTTAAAATATGTCTGCTGCACAAGTATTTAGGCCAAAAGGCCACCCAGAATTTTCATTTTTATATGTATTTGGTACCGAAAATATTCAGGGTTTTTAAATACTAGATGTTGACAGTTTATTCATGTGTTTCTTTTTATCTTCATTTTATCATCTTTTTTTATATTGATATTCTTACATTTTTGAGGTTCAGAAATGAGAATTCTATAGTCTAGCATTTAAAATTTTTTCAACTTTAAAAAAAAATCTACTTTCATTTTATATGTTATGCATGATTATTGTGGAAAATTAGAAAATACAAATAAAATCAAGAAAAGAAAAGCACCTATAATTCGTACTTTATGGATAACAACTATTAACATTTGGTACATATCCTTTTATAATTTTTTATTGCCTATATTGCTTATATAAAAAACATTTAAAGCTGTTTTCCATCTTGTGAGTACTTTATAAAAAATAAAACAGCTAATGAATGGGTTTTGCCCTCTTAAGATTAATTTTTTGACTGGGCTCAGTGCCTCAGCCTGTAATCCCAGCACTTTGGGAGGCCAACGCGAGTGAATTGCCTGAACCCGCGGGTTCGAGACCCACCCGGGCAACTTGGTGAGCCCTCATCTCTACAATAAATCAAAAATTAGCTGGGCGTGGCCGCATGTGCCTATAGTTTTGGCTACTTGGAAGGCTGATGTGGAAGGATCTTTGGAGCCCAGCAGGTCAAGGCTGCGGTGGCCGTGAGTGTGCCACTGCACTCCAGTCTCGGCAACAGAGACTCCAACTCAGAAAAAAAAAGATTGTTTTTCAAAGCAGTTGTTTCACATAGTTGAAGGCTTTTTTTTTTTTTTTGAGTTGGAGTCTCACTCTGTCATTCAGACTGGAGTGCAGTGGCT